TCCACTTCTCCCCTCCCCCGCCGCATCCCAATCCTCGACTTCTCCCCTCCCCCGCAGCAACGCCGCCTACATCGGCCAGCCGGCTGCCGCACAACTCCGACCGCCGGCAGATCTATCACACAAACACCTAACCACTCTCCTTCCCCTACCTTACTCCACTCCTGCCGCTCTTGACCCGGCGGCAGCAGCATCCTCTCCACTCTCCTTTCCCTCACCCACTGTACTGTCTGCGCTCTCGCCCCCACGGCGGCAAAACCGACGACCACGGCTCTCACCGAATCGCTCGAATCCATGCGACGATGGTCGCACCGTAGATCTAGCGGGCGACGGGTGTTATTCCTCCTCGACGGACGACCTGATGCGCCACGAGAGTAGCGCGTATCCGGCGTTGATGGAGTTGAGAAGCAAGGTCAACGTGACCATCTCCGCGGTAAGCAGCTCCACCCATGGCCATTTCGGTTTACACCATTTTTTTGTGTGTGTAATGATGATGGACTAGATTACTACTATCCGTAGCAAGCAGAGAGAGCGCCAGTCCCCTTGTTCCATCGTCATTCGACGCCACATATCTCTCATCTCCTATCCGCTCCGCCTTGCCGTCGCCATGAACTGAACCAAGCACGTGCTCAAGTAAGTCAGGAGGGTGCCCGACCCCTTCCATTTGACGCCGCAATCATGTTTCAACGTCGCAGCCTCCGCCGTCTATCGACCACGCGGCTTTGATGATTTCTTTGCAACCGCCCATCCCAGGTTGATGGAGATTTGTGATGAGAGGGAGACAGCATACCCCAAGCTCTGTCTCGGCAATGCACGGACGGCGGTCACAAATCCAGTTATTACTTGCATGCCTGGCTGCTCATCACGAGTAAGCTCCTCCCTAACCACCCCACCCCCCATGCATCAAATATCTCAAGCTCCATACATTAAATATCTCATGCAGACATATCTGCTTATTGTTTGAATATTATATGGTAAGTCTGCATCATGTTCACCCTATCATAATTCAGTATTTGTAAAAGTAGTCAAAGCTACCTGTTATTATGTGATATAGTATTTGTACATGCAGTTGTCTACAAAATACTTGGTCAGATCTTCCACAAGATTTTTCAGTTGGATTAAACATTATATTTTGATCTGACTTGTAATTAACAAAATTAGCAAACTACTTTCTTCAACGTTTGGGAACTGGGTTCAGTAGTTAGGTTCTCAGTCTAGTCTAATTCTGTGAGGCAAGAAGAGGATATAATTTATATTTGTGGTCATGATACATGATTATTATATTTTTGTTTCAAGATGTGTCAACCTCATGCAACAATAATATGAGCATGATACATAATTGTTTCTTTCTTATTGTGTTACATTTCTGTTAGTGTTGGCAGTTTGCATAAGTCAGATTTTGCGCCCTTTTGAAAAATATATTTTGCTTTAATTACTTTGCTATTCAAGTTAAATTGTTTATATACATGCATACTATTTGGTTGTACAATGCTATTTGGTTGTATAATCTGGTTGTATATGTATAATAGGAAAATTTCATATCCAAAAATTACATTTCCAAAAAACACAAAAAGAAAATATGTGTTTTAAATGATTTAATTAAATTTGTTAATCAAGCTTATTTGTTGTGCCCCAATCGTACATGTGCTAGCTTCCTCCGTATCTATAGTAGACATGTTGACCGTTTAAATTCGAGAAATCTATGTATAACAACGCTATTTTAAAATCTCTCAATTTAAATATCTATTGATCATCTGCCTATCAATAAAACTAACCAAAAAAAATTTGTGTGTGAGCTGAGATGTGTGTCATGCGGTGTTGAGAACAAGCACTGAGAGCAGAGAGATGGAGCCGGGGGATGACAATTACAACTCCTACAACACCAATATGTTAAAAGGCATGGGAGCAGGTACGTGAGAACAAAATATCGACTTAAATGACCGGTTCACATTGATTTCATACAGTAGCGTGTCTGGTTAACTATCAATAACCATTTCATTATTTGTCTATGCTATGTGAGGGTGTAACGATTATGGAGTACATTTATTGCTATGTGTGTTGAAGTCCAGTTAGGGTGCGTTTGGGAGTGAAGTATTTTGGTTTTTTTGACTAAGCCGGAATCCGTTAGCACACACTGATTAATCCTTCCAACATGTTGCTTAGGCGAAGCTAAGTTAGCAGAGGCTAATTTATTTGGCCATGAAGTAGTTATCTGAAAATACTGTAGGAAAAAAATACCAGCAAAACACTTCGGTGGACTTGACAGTACTCAGAAAATGTATGTTTTTTAGCATCCAGAGTATTTGTTGCCCACAAATCAAAAAATAGTGGTTTCACAGTAGTTCAGTTCTTACTAAAATTATACTGCCAAACTATGCCTTGCTCACTCAAAAAATTGACCAGTTGAATTTTTTGTTGTTTTGTTTGGAAGATCTGTGGTAGTCTGAACAATACTGAACTTAACTATGAATCATGATGATTTTTGCGCGAGGGTCTAAAACTTACATGTGATGGTAGTTCTGCTTTGTAATTAAAATAACACTCTTAAATATTGCATTGAGAGACAATCACCCAGTTTTGGTCAGTTTAAAAAAAATTATAATTGGTGTTGCTATTGTACATAACTCAAAGTCTATTATATCAATTGCAAGTTTTTCTTAAAGTACTGCATTTTGACATGCATAAATTATCTCTCGAGATAAGCTTCTTCAGTTTACTAATTATTGTTTTCCTACTAACTGTGATTTTCATGAAGGGACTAAACAGAGCAAAGGGAAGAAAGAGAATGGACCAATATTGGAGAAGTTGAGTGCACGAAATAATCTGTTGATCTTCTTGTAATTTAAAACCATTTAACCTTTTACCAGTAAAAAAATATTAAGTTTACATTTGATGATTGCCATGGATAAATAAAATAAATATACTTTTTAACTGACATTTTGAATGGTTACATAAACTTTGCTGATTACACACTATTGTATCTCTTACTGAAAGTTTACATTGCCTACCTTTTTCACATGATTGTGAAAAGTTAGTTTGCTAGCAATTGATATGCGTATTAAGTACGACCTGGTAATACTATCATCATCAATATTTGTTCTTCCCTATGACCCATGTGAATCAGCATGAAACATCTCTTCGGAATATGACTCTGTTACAAATAAAATTCGTTTTTGATTGTAAAAATTCAAAGAATTGTCTCTCTTTGAACATTTTTTAAATATTTTATATTTTCCAATAGGAAAACTTAACAAGTGTTTTCATCTATTACTTGTAGCTATTTACATACATGCAAGTGCCTAGTGAAGACATGTACATACCATAATAGTTTTACATTTCTCGTGACAGATATTCCCAAGGCCTACATATTATGGCTGACAGCTATTTCATGGAATCAGTAAGATGGACTTAGAAGACAGACATGGATAAAACAATGAGGTCATAAAATGGAAAGGAATCTCTGGTAAATTGTTATTCTTACTTAGCTTGTTGTTAAACTTAGGACTGTTCACTAAATTATTGAACCGTATTCCAACATATAAAGTATTTAAGATTATGAATTTTAATTTGCAATGCAAAATTAGGCAGTGAGAACTGTTCATCGGTACAAAAGCAACACACTCAGTTATTGGACAGGCTGCTTCTTGGCCGTGCAAAGTTAGCAGAACAAGCAGCACACCCAGCAATCCAAGTAAGTAAAAGCAACACACTCAGTTATGCAAACATGTACACTAACCGGATCTTGCTGGAATGGGTCATGAAAATGTACAGCAACTTGCGTAAACAGCTCCTAAGCGATTCTGTTGCAAATTTCAGAAATGGTGTCTGGCATACGATGCTCCAGGAAAGGAAGTCGTGTGCTTGATGTATATGTACACTAAGATTGCCGACATTGAGCAATCCAAGTAAGTACAAGCAACCAACTCAAATATGCAATTTCAGAACGGGTGTTTGGCCTACCATGCTCCAGCAAAGATAGTCATTATCGAGTATGAACTTGAGATTCTGTATGTATTTTTTGAACATAGGTACTGAGCGATTATTGAGTATAAACTTGCAATACGTACAGCAGAAGTTGGATCCTGGGCGCGTCCAGAAGGGGATCGCTGTGCGATCCTGGGCATGATCGCCTGCGTCTCGTGTTCGCTGGCGTCACGTAGACAGGATCGCGGCCCCGTCTCCTGAAGCGATCCCACAGCAGATCGCCACCTCATGAGATGATTTTGTGTATGACCTTGTGTATGAACTATTGTGTATGAACTTGCATTACGTACTACTAAAAGGGGAGCAGCGCCGGTTGAGACCCTGTGCGTGTCCAGAAGGGGGTCGCTGTCGGATCGGGGTCGTAATCGCCGGCGTATTTTAATCGGGATCGCGGCCCCGTCTCCTCGCCCGATCCCACAGCAGATAGCCGCCTCCTGCAAGCGCGACGGCGAAGGTTTCGACCGGCCGCAGCACAGGGATGGATCGGCCGCGGAGGGGGCGTAGGGGTGGATCGGGCGTGCGAAGGTCTGGTTGGCGGCGGAGATCGATCTGCTGTGGGCACGAGGGATCGATCCCAGGGGTTTTTTTGGCACCGGTTTATTTCGATGGAGGGTAGCGAGTAAGTAGAGGTGGGAGGATGACGGAAAAAAAACGATGGTGGGAGGATGACGAAAATAAACCAGCGAAAATAAACCGCGCGGACTATTCACCAACTGCTTCATTAGAAGTAGAGATTGGAGTGTAGCACGGCTTGTTGGCTACAGAATTTCCCACCTTATATGCTGAAATTTTGCCAGCTGATTGTAACTCTATTTCCATGGAATAAAATTCTCTTTCACCCCGCAAAAAAACTAGTATATGCACGATGGCAAATTTACATCGTTAGTCAGGACGCAAGCAGTGACGGCACGGTCCAACCGTCCAACACACATACCACGGAAGTATCAGCAGCCGCGCGCCTATTTATTCACGAACTCGCCTATGTGCTCCAAGAAGCAGAGCAAAGCAAGGTGCGATGGCGCCGGAGGTGAAGGTGTACGGGTGGGCGGTGTCGCCGTTCGTGGCTCGCCCGCTGCTGTGCCTGGAGGAGGCCAACGTCGACTATGAGCTCGTTCCCATGAGCCGTGAGGCCGGCGACCACCGCCACCCGGACTTCCTCGCCCGGAACCCCTTCGGCCAGGTCCCTGTCCTCGAGGACGGCAACCTCACCCTCTTCGGTACACCTACTTCCATCATCCTCTCTTCTCTGAAGTAGGAACCAAGATATTACGTATAAGAGTCTGAAATCCCACACGCAGAGTCGCGCGCGATCGCGAGGCACGTGCTGCGCAAGCACAAGCCGGAGCTGCTGGGCTCCGGCTCGCCGGAGTCCACGGCGATGGTGGACGTGTGGCTGGAGGTGGAGGCCCACCAGCACCACCCCGCGGCCGCCGCCATATTCGTGCAGTGCATCGTGTCGCCGCTCCTGGGCGGCGCGCCGGACCAGGCGGTGGTGGACGAGAACGTCTCCAAGCTGAGGAAGGTGCTGGAGGTGTACGAGGCGCGGCTGTCGGCGTCGAGGTACCTCGCCGGGGGAGACATCAGCCTCGCCGACCTCAGCCACTTCCCCATCATGCGCTACTTCATGCAGACGGAGTACGCGTCAATGGTGGAGGAGCTGCCCCACGTGAACGCGTGGTGGGAGGGGCTCAAAGCCAGGCCCACGGCGAGGAAGGTGGCGGAGTTCATGCCGCCGGACCTTGGGCTTGGAAAGAAGGCAGAGCAGTTATGACAAGTTGACAACAACGCCGGACTGCCGGCGACGGTGACCGATCGAACAAGGCACGGAATCACCGGTTTTGCATTGTACCGCTTTGAAGATTTTTTGTCTCACGCATGAATAAAATGCAAGATACTTCTTCCGTTTCAAAATAATTGAAGTTCTAGATCCTAAATCAAACTTCATTAAATTTAACCAAGTTTATATAAACATATTTCAATATCAAATTTGCTCCTTTAGATTGATTATAAAAATAGAGATAATTGGTTTTATGCCCCTAATTGTGTCCTGCTCGACAGGATTGCCCCTAATTTCCAAAACCAGCGGTTCTGTCCAACCCATTTTGGTCGTCTTGTGTTGGTGTGCCATTTGACCGTTTGACCGTCACTTTGAAAACTTCATAACTAATTCATACTAAATCAGAAAAATGCAAATAAGATACTAAAATGTTTGAAAAACATCACCTGTATGTCAATGTCACTTGCATTCATGACAAAAGTGTTGGTAAGTGCCCATCCGAGTTTTAGCTCTTATCACACCACCATGAACAGTAGAATCTTAAAATGTTCAAAAAAAATCCCAAAAAAATTGGTGTCAAAGAATGACAAATATTTTCAGTGCTTGTCAAGTTTCATTAGGGAATGACATTTGTAGAAGTCCATGAATGCAAGTGACATTGACATACATGTGATGTTTTTTCGAACATTTTGTTATCTTATTTGCATTTTTCTGATTTAGTATGAATTAGTTATGAAGTTTTCAAAGTGACGGTCAAAGGGCAAAATCACAAGACGACCAAAGTGGGTTGGACAGAACTGTTGACTTTTGAAAATTAGGGGCAATCCTGTCAAGTGGGACACAACTAGGGGCATAAAACCAATTATCCCTAAAAATTATATATTTTCGTATGTTGATAATGATATACACTTGACATTTCCTACGACCGTTTTCACGCTAACGCTCTATGCCGTTGGATGACACGCAGGATCACAGTGCCGGGCGCCTCACCACATCACCTTTGAAAGCCGTTCGTTCCCATAGGAACCGCGCAAACATGGTGGTTATACCCCACCTTCCCTCACCCACTCGCCTCAGTCGTCCCGGTCTTCACATTTCCCTCGATTCCTCTCCGTCTTCTCATCTGCCCGGCGATCTGTGCACCGCACTTGCCGACAATGGCTTCGCAGATTACATTGCAAGCCATCATCGACCTCAGCACTGATGACTGTGCCTGATGACCCCGATGATTGCACGCTATCTATGGCACCCAAAGTCGACCACGCCCCCACTGGCGGCACTGCCGGTTACCATGGCCCCGGCGACCACACTACCGGCTACCATGCCTACCTACGATGACAATTATGCCAGCAATGCGATGGATGACGCGTCAGGTGGATCCCAAGCCAACCCCTTCTCTTGTCACGACGCGACGCAGGTGAGAGCATGATGTTGCAGTGGCTCTTGGTGACGAGAAGTTGGGAGCCAGAGCCACTGCTTTGTTGATGTAGGTGGACTTCTGCTGGCCTCGGCCTCCAACATCATCTCCAAGCCCCTCCCAACGAGACGTCCTATAGATCCGAGGTATGGTCTCCTGTCCTTCCTTTCCCTTTCTGTCTAGTCAATAGTCTGTTGTGATGTTAGCCAATTTAGATTAATTCCAACAGTTTGTGGTGCTAGTCTCCAACCGATATTTCCATGTTCTAAGAATCATTTGCTACTGATAGAACACCTATTTTTAAGACTTAGGGGATGTAATTGGATGGGGGTTCAGTGCAACCGGTGCTGAAAGGATCGAGATGGACCTAGTGGTGGGGCGGGGAGATGAATAGGTAGAATTACAAATTTTAACGGCTACTTAGCAATTTTAGGCAATAATGCGGAATATGAAAGTGAGCCTAACAATTCCAAGAGTTCTAAGGCCCTGTTTGTTTGGACTTTTGCTTCTGCTTTTGCAGCTTTTCCACTTTGACCAAAAAGCCATTAAACTACTATATAGGTGCTTTTGGAGATTTTATGGCTTTTGGTGAATCAATATAACAATATTTGACTCCAAAGGTCATAAAAGCTCCAAAAGCACTTATTTAGGAGATTTTATGGCTTTTTGGCCGAAGTGGAAAAGCTGCAAAAGCACAAGCAAAAGCCCAAACAAACGGGGCCTAAGCAAGATAAGCAACTACAACAAATAGCATGGTAAGCAAGCATAATATAATGAAAGTAAAGACTAAGTGACAAGTAACCATAAGTAGGGAGTTAGGGTTACGGATAACCGCAACTCCGAGAAACAAGGATGTATGCCGATGTTCACTTTCTTGGAGGGAACCTAGTCAACGTTAGAGAAGTGGATGTTACCACGAAGGCACACCAACGCCACGAAGGATCACCCTATCTCCCTTTGTGACAAGACCACGAAGGCGTTTCTCAATCACTAGTGGTAGACCTTGAGGTGGTCTACAAACCTTCACAAACTTTTCGAGGGTAATCACAGAGAACAATTCCTCTCCGAAGAACTCCTACCATTTTGGAGTCTCCAACCTCCAAGAGTAACAAGACCTAGGGGAAAGCTCAAGACTTGCTCAAATCACAATTTGCTTCGCTCAAAAGAAGGAAGGGGAGTAGATCTTTCTTCTAATTGGAACAACTCTCAAGGGCTCTCACAAATCTTCTCGGGATCTAAGGTTTAGTGTGGGAGAGTATGAGAGGGAGCACTTGTGTTCTTGGGGAAGATATGAATGTAGTGGTCAACCCTCTCCCGAAGTGGGAGAGGGGTATTTATAGATCACCAAAAATGCGACCATTTCGTACATTAAGTGACCTACCAGGAAGATCCAAATACCTACCCGAATGATCCGGGCAATGCCCGGACAATCCATCTAGGGATCCGGATGATCTGGCTAGGTCAACTTAGACCACTCGCACAGAGTTGTCCGAACATCCGGGAGGGAGTCCGGATAATATTACATAGGCGACAATGCTTAGGTGTCACTAGTAGAAAAAGGGCCTTATGTTCAAATCTTTAGTCCCGGTTTGTAATAGAACCGACACTAATGTGACCATTAGTGCCGGTTCCAATGGCTAGGCGGGCGGCTCTCATTAGTATCGGTTCGTGGCGAACCTTTAGTACCAGTTCATGCCACAAACCGGTACTAAAGAGGTGGTGGCAGGCTTGTGTCAGGCTGCAGCCCACCATAACCTATAGTACCGGTTCATGCCACAAACCGGTACTAGAGTTTTTTACTTCATTCTTTCTGCAACAGTTTTTTAGTCCCACCTCGCTCCGATAACAGGGTTTTTACCACCTTAAATATGTTACTTCTCAAACTATCATGAGCACTTGGTCTTCATTGAACTCTATGTGTAGGATGTGTGGCTGCAATAGGAATCTTCGTCGGTTCTTAAACCGGTGAAGATTCCTATTGACAATTCAAATTCTACACAAAAAGATCATTGATGAGCAATGTATTCTTGATATATATTTTTACATGTTTACACATAGCAGTAGCGCGGTTTAGGAAAAACTGGATGCACTTTGTGTACAAACTAGACAATCTCTTTCAAAGTATCAGGGTTTCGGACAAAAACTCATCTGTTACAAAGGCATTTCTTATTTTTTTAAACTTATTACAACTCCAGACTTTTTGTGCGTTCAGTATGCACCATTCAAAGCCACGTCATCAACTTTCAAACCTTTCTGCCTTCATTTTCTATTTTTCATGCATATACAGATTTTTTTTAGCCAAATGACCCTGCTATTGGAAAGCAATACAAATGAACTCTGAAAAGATTGAAAGTTGGCATGGTATCGTCATTTCACCCACATAGCATGTGCAAAAAAGTTGAGAGGGTTACGGCAAAAACTAGATGCACTTTGTGTACAAACTGGACAATCTCTTTCGAAGTATCAGGGTTTAAGATGAAAACTCATCTGTTACAAAGGCACTTCTCATTTTTTTTAAATTATTACAACTCCAGACTTTTTATGCGTTCAGTATGCACCATTCAAAGCCACGTCATCAACTTTCAACCCTTTCTGCCTTCATTTTCTATTTTTCATGCATATACTGATTTTTTGAGCTGAATGACCCTGATATTGAAAAGCACTACAAATGAACTCTGAAAAGGTTGAAAGTTGGAATGGTAACATCATTTCACCCATATAGCATGTGCAAAAAAGTTTAGAGGGTTACGGCAAAAACTAGATGCACTTTGTGTACAAACTGGACAATCTCTTTCGAAGTATTAGGGTTTCAGACGAAAACTTATCTGTTACAAAGGCACTTCCCATTTTTTAAAACTTATTACAACTCCAGACTTTTTGTGCATTTAGTATGCACCATTTAAAGCCACGTCATCAACTTTCAACTCTTTCTGCCTTCATTTTCTATTTTTCGAGCATATACTGATTTTTTTGAGCTAAATGACCCTGATATTGAAAAGCACTATAAATGAACTCTAAAAAGGTTGAAAGTCGGCATGGTATCATCATTTCACCAACATAGAATGTGCAAAAATGTTGAGAGGGTTACGGCAAAAACTGGATGCACTTTGTGTACAAACTGGACAATCTTTTTCGAAGTATCAGGGTTTCGGACGAAAACTCATATGTTACGAAGGCACTTCTCATTTTTTAAAACTTATTACAACTCAAGTCTTTTTGTGCGTTCACTATACACCATTCAAAGCCACATCATCAACTTTCAACCCTTTCTGCCTTCATTTTCTATTTTTCATGCATATACTGATTTTTTTGAGCTAAATGACCCTGATATTGAAAAGCACTACAAATAAACTCTGAAAAGGTTGAACGTTGGCATGGTATCATCATTTCACCCACATAGCATGTGCAAAAAATTTGAGAGGTTTACAGCAAAAACTGGATGCACTTTGTGTACAAACTGGACAATCTCTTTCGAAGTATCAGGGTTTTAAACGAAAACTCATCTGTTAGAAAGGCACTTCTCATTTTTTTTAAACCTATTACAACTCCAAACTTTTTGTGCGTTCAGTATGCACCA